GTCTCGAGACAGGGTCTAATTGTGCTGGATAGAAGGTCTGGAACTCAGAGATCTGCCTGCCTCTGCCTCCTCAGCGCTGATTGCAGGCATGAGCCACCATGTCCAGCACTGATGCCAATGGTTTTTCTTTTCATCAGGATCATTTACATTTAGAATCAATATTCAGAGTTTGGGGGACAGATTTGAGGGAGAGGCTCAATGGCAAAATAGTATCTAAGCCTTCGGACTGAATGATTCCCAGCACTGCAGGGGAAAAGAAATTAAGAATAAAAAGAAAATCTAAGGGTCAAGTTTTGGAATTGTAAATGTCCTCTTGGTCAATGACAGCCCTCGCAAAATTTGCCTATAGCTACCTTAACACATAAACATTAGGGAGACAGGCATCTGGCCCAGTAGGACCATAGAGGCCTCCCTGGGAGACCCCCTTTTCCTTTGCAAAGCACCTAGAAATCCTGAGAGGTCACAAAAAAGTCACTTGGGGCATGGACAGCCCAACCTGTCCTGCACGGGGCATGCACAGGGCCTCACCCTTCACCAGCGACTTCCTTCCAGAGAGCACTGCCAGCTCCTCAGCCAAAGGAGGGTCCTAGGCATTCACACCACAATGAAGACAGCTAGAGACCTCGGCCAAGGCCTCCTTCTCCAGCCACCTGCCCAGTGCTGAATCACCTCAGGCTTGGGAAACTGGTCAGAGTGGAATCTGACTAATTCCAGCACAACCCTGCCTCGGGTCCTTTTTAAAGAGACTCACATCAGAACCAAGGAGCAGCTCCCTGTGCCGCAAGAGGAAACACCACACAGGCATCAACCTTCAACCACCTGCCCGCGTGGTGGCAGGCCTACTTTAGAGCCTGGCTCACGCTATGTGCTCCAGTGTGACTCATGCCACTCTCGCTTTCCACCCTGTCTGCTCAGAGCCCTGGGAGGCTCTTCCTCAGGCTTCACTGGAAAGAGCAGAGCTGGCAGAGCCTCCAGTATCCACACCATCCGAGGCTGCAGACAAAGGTCAGGGTCCCCCCAAGTCACCATGTCCCTTTGATTACACTGTTTCAAGAACCTGAGCTTTCCCACTGCTAATGCATCAAAAACCACAGATGAGATGTCTGAGCAGCAACTGGAATAAAGCGGAAAGAGTGCTTTCGAACGCTAGGACCCCAAGTTACAAAAGAAGGGGACACACACCTTTAAGTCCAGAACTCAGGAGGCAGAGGCAGGCGGATCTCTATGAATTCAAGGCCAGCCTGATCTACAGAGTGAGATCCTGGCCAGCCAAAGCTACCCAGTGATAACTTGTCTCAACAACAACAAATCCATGCAAGCTTCTTTTTCTCATAGCCAAAATAGGAATCACCCCTATACTCCCCAGGCTGGGGTGGGTGATGGGACGACAACCAAAACAGTACATCTGTCGTTCTAGTGAGATTGAGGCAGGCTGAGGAACACAGGACTCAAAGTGTTCTGAGCCAGAAGAGCAAGTCAGTCTATTTTTAAGCCCTTCCCACCCCCACCAGGTGTGATGGCACAGGCCTGCAATCACAGCATTCAAGTGGTCAGGGGTGGAAAGGCAGAGGCTAACCTGAGCCTATACAGTGAGATCCTGTCTCAAAAAAATAGCAGAGAAGGGTGTCCACAAATAAGAATACAGGGCACTGCATCTAGCTGTGCTTTTTCGTCCCCTCGAGAGCCTGCCTGTGAGCACAGAGATTAGCCTGTCTTTGAAGGGCTGCAAGGATTTCCGCTGTCCAGCTGTGCCATGATTAACATGACCTTTCTAATGGACAGTGAGCTTGTTTCCTGCCTTCTTCTCTGACAATGCCACAATAACTACCCTCAGACATTTCCTTTTGCACAGCCAAGTTTATCTGTGGGGTAAATGCCTAGAACACAGAAGGGAATACTGGCAAAACTACCTTCAAAAGAGAGGTGTGCCAACGCTGGAGCAGTGACTCAGTGGTTAAGAGTGAGTACAGTTTTGGCAGAGGACTGGAGTTTGGTTCTCAGTACCCACATCATGTGGCTCACAACCCACTGCTTGCTAACTCCAGCTAAAGGGGGAAATTCCACACCTCTGGCCTCTTCTGGCACCTGTACTCATAACACACACACACACACTCGCACACTCACACATGTGTGCGTGCACACTCAAACACAAAACATTTAAAAAAAAAAGTTGTGCAAGGAACACCCCCATCCATGAGTCCTCAAGTAGGGAAGCAGGTGTATGGAAGGAAGTCCCTCACCTGGAGAGTCTTCCAGGCACCCTGTATAGTAGACACACAAACTGATACAATCTTACAGGGAATGTGATCCTCTCTAACAAGATCAAACCAACCTTCTCGCAGCCCACCGGCTGGAAGCCAGGGCTCCAGACACAAGTCTGCCATCCTTCTTTCCACACTACCCTAGCCTACCGCCTAGAACATGGAAAACCATGTTTGAGAAGAAAAAGAAAAAAAAGCCACAGACATTATGAGCAGCTTCTGCCTAGGCCCACACCTCAAATCAAGTCATTTAGCACACATTCCTAAGTAAGTGCACCCAAAAGCGTCTGCAGCCTTAAAGCCACTGTGTTTTCACCATTTTGCCTCCTCTCCCCTAGCCAGGCAACCCTGAGTATCCCTAGAGGTAGGAAAAAAAGCTAAGTTTTAGGAACCAAGGAAATTCGTCTAGCCTCTACCCTCAGAACCACCCAGTGAGAGGCAAGACTAGTAAAATCTACGACGAAAATAACACAGAGAGAGATGTGCACAGCTACTAGATAGCAGACCTTTTCCAGGGACTACTCCTAGTTCCTGCATCCAGTTCTGCAGAGGAGAGCCCAGGACGCCCATGCTCCAGCTGAGAAAACTGAGGATGTCACAAAGCTAGTGGGCAGCGCTAGGATTTGAACTCTGCCTATCACCACAGCCCATGTTCTTTCCCTGACCCACTCACTCTTCCCAACTTAAAAATGGGATTCTGAGGCCAACTCTGTGGACTGCAGGCCCTTGCCACAAGTCTGGGCTAGATCCCAAGGACACACATGGTAGAAGAACCAACTCCCCTTAATCAGTATCTCTCTCACTCACTCACTCAACTCACACACAAACTTTATTAAAAATTTATTTTTTTTAACAGAAGTCTATGAGCCAGTTGCCTAGGAAACCAGTGCCCTGTTCTGCTGTCACCAGAAGCCCTGAGGCCAGGGGCTCAGATCACCAAGGGTTAAAGCTAAGAGGCAGTGATTCTCTGGGGCAGCACAAAAGGAAAATCTACTTCCTGCCCCTGAGGGCGGAGATGCTGTTTTATGCTCAGTAAATTAGGACATTTGTTTAATTAAGGGAACACACAGATTTTGTTATTCTAAATATTTTTGGAACATGATGCTTGGAGGAAGCTGTCAAGGCAAGGATTTTTTTGCCCCTTGCTTTAGCTTCCCCCCCCTCCCCCAGAGAAGGAAAACAACGGCTAACCCTTCCTCTCCTTTGAAAATACAGATGTCAAGCTGGTAGGGGCCGTCTTAAGTACTTTATTGAAGGATTAGTAAGAAGAGGAAGTGAGCAAAACTCCAGCCCTAGTCTACCAATACCCTACCAGCTCTGACAATGGTGCATTTTTTCGGTGTGCTTCTCTAAGAGCTAAGAGATCCTTGTTTTGTTGTTTTTTTTTTTTTTCTAGAGCAAGACCAGGCAAAAGGCAGGCTGTGATTAACATGCACCCTTCATTCCACAAGAGAGACGCTGCCCTATCTCCAAACCCTTTGGTTAAAAATTTCAAAACTTAAAATAAAATAAAAACCAGATAAACCAGAACCCTGGTCCTTTCTTTCCTCTCCCTTCCCATGCCCTTCAGAGCAGCAGCCCTACTGGTCCCTGCCTCTCAGCTTCCCTTTCCCCGAGGGGCAGCATAATGCCTCCCAACAGAACTTGCTAACGCTGGTTCCAAGGGAACCCGGGTCTGCCCACCTGCCCTGCCAGGACCTGCCGAGTACAGAAGCAAAGCGCTGGAGTGTCACCCACACCGCACACTGGCTCTGGAATTACACTGAGCAATCTCGATGCTTCTAATTACTCCCCAATTACCCATTAAATGACTCCCCACTTTCCTTCACCACGTGTTTGCCTCAGTTTGCCAAGCCTGAAATGTCTTCCTTCCTCGTGGTGGCTTCCCTGTGTGCCCTGGACAGCAGTGTCCCCTTAACCTAGGAAATCCTTGAGTCCTTTGTCTGTGGCTTGTTTGGGACACAGCACAAGCTGTCTTTGTATCACACTGTGCCACAGTTGCTCCTTGAAGCCCTCAAATTTCCCCAGGACACAAGTCTCTTCAGGAGGCCAACAAGCTCTCAAGGGGAGTCGGATGCCTCACAGTACCTTTCTGGAGTTCCTGTCATCCCTGCCGCACACTAGAGTCACCTACTGATTTGTCTCAGCTCTCCCCTAAGTGCCTGGGGGCAGGGGCCAAGTCTTACTCAACTCACACCCACCGCACCCCACCCCCACACACACCACCTGGCAAAGTCCCTGGCAGGAGAAGCCAGTTAAATATTTGCTCAATTACACATCTATAGACCCTTCCCCCACCCACAGCAACCTTGTATATAAACTGACTGGTATTGAGAGATTGTCTAAACAGGCCTTTAAGCAGCTTGCCTCCTAAACCAAAAGAAGGTAGGCAGGTGGGGTTATCAGCCTGGCCTCTAGACACTGGAGTCAGAAATGGCTACAATGTTACTGTGAACAAGAAGGGGCTAGGATTCTTCCCCTTTAACAGTTACGTTTTTAAATTTTTTAATTTTTTTTCTATTTCAAAAAACTTTATTTTTAACTTGGTCCAAGACTTGGGAGGGCCTTGGAGGCTTAAGAAGTTCAGGCTTAAGTTCAGATGGAGGTGCTGAGGCTGGCTGGCACACAGCAGATAAGGGAGCCAATTAGGAGAAGAAACCTAGTCACGCTTGAGAGTGAGCCGCTTGCCCAGGGATGGCTTGTCCAGAGATGGCTGGAACACGCCAGTCTACGTCGGCTAAAAATATGGAATGGTTAACAAATTTGCGTGTCATCCTTGCGCAGGGGCCATGAATCTGTGTATCATTCCAATTTTGGTATGGGTGCTGCCGAAGAGAGCATGCAACAGTTACTTTGAAATCTGGCTAAATTCAGAAAACCACTCAGATGGAGAAGTCACTGCCCAGATCTCCACTGCCCAGCCGAAGTAGCCTCCGGGTCTCCAAGACCTGGAACTTCCCAGAAACCTTTTCCCTAACACCGCTGGGTGGGGCTTGAGGCACCCGCCCGGGCCCACCCTGCCCTCAATTTCACTACTGCCCGCAAGCAAGTCCAGGAGGTTTCAGACTCCTTTGCCTAGAAGAAATGAGGACCAGGAGGAGCGGGGTGAATTTTTGGCCTGGGCGTGGCTCTAGAACAGGATGGGGTGAGGACCCTTACACAGGGAAGTGGAGGGGTGGGGGGGGGGGGATGTCTTCAAAACTCCGCCTCTAACCCTAACATAAAAGATGCAGTAGCCGGGCCGGGTCCTAAAGTCAGGGCCAGCTTCCAGAAACTAGTCCGGGCGTGGCGTCCCAGGGTGCGGTGAAATCAGGTGCACGCCTGGGCGGCTCGACGGTTGCGGGCAGAACCAGGCCTTTTGCCCTCGGGCAATAGAAACCCAAGGTTAGACGAGGACGGATGGGGTCCTTCCGGCACCCTGGGCCCCGCGGCAGCCGGATCCCCCTTTCCCACGCACCCAGCGCACCTCTCCCCGCCCCCTCCCAGCCTGAAGGCTGCCGGGCGAATGAGGAAGTCGCTGCGGAGGGCGGAAACCGGGCGAAATGTCTGCGGCGGGAGCGACCGATCCTGACTCAGGACGTCCTGACAGCTGCCAAGCGGTCGCCGCCTGCCCGTTAAGTCCCTTTGCAAAACTTACAGAAGAGCCACTGCCCCGAGCCCGCATCCTCATCCCCGTGGGCTCAGCTGGTGGCCCCGGGACTGCGGCGTCCTCGAAGGGGTTAAAAAGTTTGCCCTAGCAGGCCGTCGGGGAGGCAGGAGCGCACAGGCGACAGAAGCAGGCCGAGTTCCCAGTGCCCCGACCGGGAAGCCTCCCGAGGCGGGAACTGTGTCCCCCGGCTCCCTAACCCCAAGGCCTCGCTGCCTAGCACCCCTCGGGTGAAGATGCGGAGCCCGGACCCAGAGGTTCGCGCCCGACCGCTCCAGAGCCGGCCACGCGGAGGCCGAGAACCACAGGGCCGCCGGCTCCAAGCCCCCAGTGTAAAGTCGCCGCGCGCGCGCGCACTCGGCAGCCCCGGGGCGGGACACACCGGCAGGGCTCGCTCACCTGAGCCTGGGTCTGCCCGGGGAACAGGCGCTGGTTCTACCGAGAGGACTTTCTCGAGCGCTCGGGCGGTGCGGCGGGGTGGGGCGAAGGGGAGACTCGAGCTGCAGCAGGTCAGGTTCTTGAGCCTTCCGTGCCCTGCCCAGGAACCGCGGTGATCTACGCGCCTCACCGCACCCAGCTCTGCTGAACGCCGCCCGCCCCGCCCTTCCAGAGGAGGGCGGGTCTGAAGCCTGCCGCCGGCTCGGGGCGGAGCTCCAGGGAGAGCCCGCCCCCTCTCCACGCCGCCCAATCCAGCAGGAGTCTGACCTAAACGGACAGATTTTCGGCCTATAAGCAGACAAGGGACGGATGCCTGCGGGCTGAGATTCATCCTCTCCATCCGTCCCCACCTCCGCCCACCCCACCTTCCCCGCGCTTCCTAGGCGGGAGCCCCGCCTCGTGGGGAGTATCCAACGGACAGCCAGGTTACAGGACGAGGATTGACGTGAGCTACACCCAATCAGGAGTGGGCGGCTCCGGCGCGCTGGGCTCCGAGTCCCGGCTCTGGTGCGCAGCCTGGGCCGCGCCGAGGCCGGCGGGAGCGTGCTGGGAAGGTCTGAGGCTCTAACACTCCGCCCCACGAGCCGTGTTTTCCCTTCGTCCTGTCCTACCAGGAGAACAGATATTAAGTACCATATATGGGAAAAGTGGTATTTTACATAATTATGATGGCTGTGGGGGCGGGCATGGCTTCAACCCTGCATTCCGTGTGGGCGTCCTGAGTTCGATTTTGGAGCCTCTGAACCTTTGCTTTGGCGGTTCCCTCGGCTTGGAATGCGATCTAAACCGTGCTTTACCACTGAGTAATTAAGTCGGACACATCCTCTGAGATATTTGTCGCTAAATTATTTTTAAGCGCTTATTACATTTTTTTATTTTAGTTACTAACTACGAGAGGATACATTTTTCGCGCTTCTCATTTAATCCACCAGGAATCTGTCCACACAATTGTTTTCTGCCCTGATTTGTAGGTACCACTCTCACCATATCCGTTTTCGAGTTGTGTCCATTGATCTGTGTGGTCGATCCTGCAGTCAATGGGAATAGCTTTTAAATCACTTTATGATGGCAAATTTCTCGTCACTGCTCTTAACTGTTGGAATGTTCTTGCTAACACAGCTAAAAACAATCCTTCCAAATGAACTTCAGGGAAAACTTACTTTCTAAAGACTAAAGACAGCTTTTAAAAAAAAAGATTTTGCAGCCCGGATGACAAATGATTATTACCTAAATACCTTAAAGATCACTTCCTAGTTGATAGGCAAAATCCAAATGCTTCAAAAGAAAAACGGATGAAGACATCCAGGGGTTGTGGGTGGTAGATCAGAATTTAAGAGACTGAGGTAGAATGAGGATAATTCAAGACCAACCTGGAACTACACAGACAAATGGTTCAAATATGTGAAATAAATAGCAAAGAATTACTTTTAAAACTGACCATCAAGAGGCTGGGGATGTAGTTCAGCAGTAGAGTTTATTTTTTTGTTTGTTTGTTTGTTTTCCGAGTCAGGGTTTCTCTGTAGCTTTGGAGCCTGTCCTGGAACTAGCTCTTGTAGACCAGGCTGGCCTTGAACTCACAGAGATCCTCCTGCCTCTGCCTCCCAAGTGCTGGGATTAAAGGCATACACCACCATTGCCCGGCTAGCAGTAGAGCATTTATCTGGCATGTGCAAGGCCTGGGTTCAATTTGTAATAACACACACACACACACACACACACAGAGAGAGAGAGAGAGAGAGAGAGAGAGAGAGAGAGAGAGAGAGTGTTTACTAAGGAAAGGACAGACTTCAAAAAAGAAGTACATGGTGCCTTTAATCCTAGTGCTTAGCACCTGGGAGGTAGCAGTAAGGTAGATCTCATGAGTTTCAGGACAGCCAGGGTTATGTAGTAAGACCCTGTCATCCCCCCCACCAAAAAAAAAAAAAAACAAAAAAACAAAAAAAAAAGCATAGTAGGAAGAAAGTCAATCAATATAAAAATGTGTGTTGCTCATGTCCATAATTCCAACACACCTAACATTCAAAACGCTGCAGCAAACTGAACTGGAGGCCAACCTCCTTGTCTACATAGTGAGCCCCTGACTTCAAAATTAATAATAATAATAAAGTAGATAAAATGGTCTACACTTGATTACTATGCAGGCATAAAAAGAGAGAGAGATCAACAGCCTTGTGCCCCACCCCCTAAAGATCTAGAAACTCCCGGGAACTGGGTTTCTTGCTTCCTCCCTAGTTGGTGACCTAGGTGGATGGACACTCTGCAGGAATGCGGGTTCAACTGCTAAGGTTCCTTCTGAATGGTTTCAATCTGCAATACCCACCCCTCTACCAGAAGCACACATTGACAGGATTTTTTACTGCGTGGCAGGCCCTATATTAAGCACCTTATTGAAGAATTTTCTTATTTCATCTTCACAATATTATCCCCATTTTGTAAATGAGGACAGTGAAACTTAGCAAAGCTAAGTGACTTATCTACTAAGCAGTGGAATTGGCATTCAGATGAGGCAAGTGCAACCAGCTGCCCCAGCCCTCAGCGCTGCACTGTCCACTGTGACCAACTGAAGCTCTTTTCTTTGCTTCCTGAGACTCCTTTCCTGGATTTCCAGCCCACTCTGCCACCTGCAGCTGTACCAGTCACAGAGGTAACTGCCAAGTCCATGTTCCACCCAGGCTTTCAAATTAGCAATCTTTTCTCTTTTTTCTCAACTTTTAAAAATTGTAAGAAACGCTCTGAAGGAAACTAGGTCAGCCCGCCACAGAGATAGTTGCACACCCATATTGACTATGGAGCCAGCCTGGATGCCCATCGCCAGGTAAACAACTGGAGCACATGTGGCGCTAGATATACACAATGGCCATTAGACTTAAAGAAGAATAAAACAAAACGATGCCATTCCCAGGGAGATGGGTGGAGCTGGAGGGCATCGTGTTAAGAGAAATAAGCCTGCCTGAGAAAGACAATACCATATGTTGTCTCTCATGCGCTGAATTGTAAGTTTAAAAATATAATACTGCCGGGCGGTGGTGGCGCACGCCTTTAATCCCAGCACTCGGGAGGCAGAGGCAGGCGGATCTCTGTGAGTTCGAGACCAGCCTGGTCTACAAGAGCTAGTTCCAGGACAGGCTCCAAAACCACAGAGAAACCCTGTCTCGAAAAACCAAAAATAATAATAATAATAATAATAATACTTGTACCTAGAGATGGTGATGCAGTCATGACCATAATCCGTGCATTTGGAGCAGAAGCAGGAGAATTAGAAATTTGAAACCTAGGGAGCTGGAGAGATGGCTCAGAGGTTAAGAGCATTGTCTGCTCTTCCAAAGGTCTTGAGTTCAATTCCCAGCAACCACATGGTGGCTCACAACCATCTGTAATGAGGTCTGGTGCCCTCTTCTGGCCTGCAGGCATACACACAGACAGAATGTTGTATACATAATAAATAAATAAATGTAAAAAAAAAAAAAGAAGGGGCTGGAGAGATGGCTCAGTGGTTAAGAGCATTGCCTGCTCTTCCAAAGGTCCTGAGTTCAATTCCCGGCAACCACATGGTGGCTCACAACCATCTGTAATGAGGTCTGGTGCCCTCTTCTGGCCTGCAGACATACACACAGACAGAATATTGTATACATAATAAATAAATATTTAAAAAAAGAAAAAGAAAAAGAAATTTGAAACCTAATTTTCTAATTGCAAACATGAAGATAGAAAGGGGCCATGTTGGGTAAGGAAGGGGTATAAAAGATGAGGACAGAGG